GTGGAACAAACATTTTCTTGGTGATTTAATCTTAAAAAATAAAAGTAACATTAGGAAAATAAGCCTATTTGTCTTATATTAAACCACATTCAGGTTTTATTTTCAAGCTACTGTGGTACTTTTCATAATTAACAAAATTTTTTAATTTTAATTCTTTTTATAAATATTTTCTTACTAAATTATGTAATGACATATATTTGGGCCCTGAAATTTACACTTGACTAATATCACTAAAGCCAGGAAGGTCACATTTGTAAGTATTTTTGAGAGTTTTATTATATTTTCCAAGATACATGTCTTAATTTCTTGATTCACATAATTTTTATCCTTATTAAATCTATCTTCTAAAATTGTTACATGGTTTAAGCCTGCCCAATCCTATTTGAAAGAGCTTTATGTGTGATTTGCAGCCCTACTGGTTGGCTATCCGGGAACCTTTGTTTAATTAGAAAAAAAAATAAAAAAGAAAAGCACAACATTTTCATAACAAAGGCACAACTATGATAATCACATGGAGAACATCATCACATCACCCCTCAGGTACACAACTCCCCAACTCTTTGTGACTGCCTTGGTATTTGAGATCTTCAACAATACTTTCATCTACTCTATGGAATCTTTCTCTTTTTCAAAGTAAGCAACCTAATTTTGTAATCAATTTACATGTTACAACTTACAAAGTACAGCCAGATGATGCAACTATTGTCAGCATGGAAAGATGAGCTCTTCAAAGAAGACAATATAAAGGTTAGAGAAACAGACTAGTCTGAGCAGGTGACAACACTGAGGAGAAATAAATTTTAAAAGTGATTGGTTGATCAATTATTATCTTCTGATAACAACTTTTGCTTCTCTATACAACCTCTTAAATATAAGGAGTTGGAGAATGTACATTCATATAATGGAGATGATCTGAAATAAGAGAAATGGAGAAAAAGGGATATCCTGGGAAAAAAGTCATAAAATACGAGGAATGAATAACTGATAGGGGTTGGTTATTTGGTAACTGTTGAAGAGCAGAAAATAGTATCATCTGGGAATCTCAGACTTTAGGACTCTGGCTTGGGAACATTGTGTGGATGATTTGGGTCTTCACCATGCTAGGGGGTTATAAATGGAGGAAAAAAATTAGAGAGGAAATCAGGATTAGTTCACTTTAGGCCACAGATTTCTATAAGACTCTTTCCTACCCAGACACACATATTTAATATGGACTAGGATACCTGGTTCTACAATTTATAGGAGATAGAAAAGCCATCATCAGTATATGGGTGGCATCTGGAAACATGAGAGAGGAAACACAATTATGAAAAGCTAAAGACAGCATCCTGAGAAGTAGTCTTTATGGCGAAAGCAGAGGAAAATTTCTGACTGAAGATTAGAAGGAACATTCAGAAAAAGAACAAAAGTAGAGTAGGGTTCTGAAATCCAGCTGCTGAAGAAGCTCCGTCTGCCCTCAGAGAGCTCCATTGCTCACAGTGTCATAAGTCATAGGAAGGTCACATCAAGGAGGGATTGAGGAAAGTTTCATGTATGTTTTGGGACATCTAAGAAGATCCAGCAAAAAAACTCCACTTTTCCTTGGCCACCTTGTGAAATAAGGCAAGGGAATAACAAGAACAAAATTATGATGCAATTACCAAGAAAGGCTAACAGGAAAGATACTGCTTTGTATGAAAACGACAGAACCTTAGATACGGAAACTGACCTTCCCAGTCATGGGCAACGCTGGGCCACAGGAGGGAGGCCTTCCTACAGTGGGGAGGTTCCTAGGTACCGTGTATCCTGTGGAGGAGCAGAGAGCAGCTAATCCCTGTGGCTGTTCTGCTCTGAGGGCACAAGTGGTTGATAATCACTGAGAAAGGGTGAAGAAGGCAGATAAACATCAAATCAAAATGTCACCTTTATTTCTTACATACCTGGTAGGTGTGTGGGAACATGGACCTGAGAACACTGCGCTGCATGACTAATGTTTCCCCAACGGTCCAAGCGCATCAGCATAGCCCCACTCTTACCCTTCTGGAGGAGCTGGGTTACCTTGCTGAGTTTGGTCAAGAGGATAGAGAATATCTGAAAAAGGGCCATTTCAAGGACACATAACCCATGCATTTGCATAGGGCTGCCACACTTTAAGGTTCCTGAGTGGGTCAGACACGGGTACCTCGCCACATCCTGGGATGGAATATGGCAATGCCACTTGCTCAGGGTTGGAAGTATTTAGCCAGTGAGTGGGGATGGGTCAGTCCTCTTACCCACTCAAGACCTGGGCACTGAGTATGTCCCAACGTGAAGGCTGCAACCACTTGGTGGCCACCTCTTCATTTAGGTTGGAAAGGCAGTTGGCGGACCTTGGGAAGGGGAGGTTGACTCTGCTCCCTCCTCACCCCTGACGGTGCATCGTCAGTCCTGCAGCCGTGGGGTGGAAGAATCTGCGTGCAGCATGGTGCTGTTTGCATCATGGAGTAACAGGGCAGGGCAGGGCCCCTGGAAGCCTCTGAGTGTCCACGCTGGCCCTGCGAGTACTGCAGCACCCGAGGGAGTGTGATATTGAGTAGCAGATTGAAGATCCAGAGCAGTGTCTTGCCAATGGGTTTCAGCCCCAGGCAAATTCACTATGGATTCAATGTGACCAAAGAAATGAGAGCAGAATGTTCTTGGGGTGAAAGGGTTATACCCAACTTTTTTTCCACAGTGGCAGTTCAATCACTAAAATCCTGCTCACTCAGAGTGAGTCTGCATGAAGCAAGCCGGTCTCTGCCTCTGGGCCTCTTTGCCCCTGCAGCTGTCCTCTGGGCCTCTGTCCTTGGCGCTGCCACCACTCCAGCCTCTGCTCTGCTCTCCTGCAGCCCTGCCACCCTGTCGGCCAGCACACTGGGCAGAGCTCTTTATACAGAGTCAATAGCAACATATTGCCCACATGTGTACAGTGAGCTGGCCAACCAGGGCCAGGTGAGAATCCTGGCCACAGGAATTTTCATTTTATCCACAAGCAGTTGGAGAAAAAGAGTACAGAAGGGAAATAAAAGGTTTATATTTAGTAGCTTAAATGGCACATTTTTCATTCTATTTTAACAAGCGACCCGCCTGCCCAGTTTGAACAAGACTCTGCAAATAATGTAACAGACAGCTGAAATCTCCAGCATCGGCCGAGCCACATGTTCTCTGTTCCTTCTGTATAAAAGCTCACCTATTTGAGTGTCACCAAGTGAGTGCTAAGGAGTAGGTTGAGGCCCAGGATATTATTCAAAGGGAGTTTCCTTCACCTGCAGACGGAGTGGTGGGGGAAAGTGTTTCCTTTCATGCGTCATAATTAACCTGCATGCACTATTTCAGACAGAGGGAAGCAGGGCTCTGTAGAGCGACAAAAACTCCTGTGACCGAGACAGAGAGGTAGGACTTCACTTACTTCCTTTTTAGTAGGGGCATTTCATCCTTGTCCCCCTGATTGCTCTGGGGCTCTCGGGAACTGACAGTGAAGGCTGCAAAGCACTAACTGACTTAGTGCTGCAAAGCAGCAACCCAGGAGGCTGCCCCTAGACCCTTTGGATTCGAGAAGATCTGTCTAGAAGCACTTCCATAAAGTCTTGGTAAAGTTAAACCTAGTCTCAGTGCTTGAGATTGTTTCACATGTGGGGCCGAAAGGTGATGATACAGAAGAGCTCCCTTTTGTCCAGATCGGCATGGCTGAGTAGCATTTGCCCCACAGGTCACCAGCACCAGCACTAAAGAGAAGCAGCTAGGCAGACAGCAGGATACTCCCTCCAGTGGGGGGAGGGCCAGTCAGAGACCCAAAGCGTCCCGAGGGCTGGAGTCCCTTTTCCTGTCCACTCTGTATTTCTGGCAGGATGTGTGGGACCCCTGGAAGGTTAGCTTGACCCCCACCTCTATTTTGTGTCTTCCATCTTGAATAACTGCCCACCTCCATTTTGTTCTGTGCCCTCCATCTTGAATGACTATGTCCCCTATATGACCCCTGCCTCCATTTTGTTCTGTGTCCTCCATCTTGAGTAAGAAGTTTCCTGCTCAAGCCACGCCCATTCCCATGGAAACCATGCCCAGCAACCTGTGCAACAAGACCCTGACCCTCCTCAGCCAATCAGCTAAGGTCACAATAAACCACCCTCCTTGGAAAGCCCCTAACTGTTCCAAAAATATAAAAGCAAACAGGGAACTTTGTTCAGGGTCTCAGACCGAGTCCTGTGTTCTGATGGGCCACTGAGACCCTAGTTCGAATTAGCAATAAAAACCTGTTCTGCTCTTGCATCTCATGACTGAGGCTGGTGACTGCGGCTCCACATGGGGGACTCAAGGAAACGGGGCACAACATTTGGGGGCTCATCCGGGATCCCTGTGGGGAGCAGCAGCCCCAGCCGCCGGGTAAGGTCTTTATTGAATCTGGAAGTGACTAGTCACGCCAGCCGCGGGCCAGCTGGAATAGAGGGGGCAGAAGTCCTTCCGCAGGACCTCCTCCGTCTGGTTCAGGGCAACGTAAGGCCGGGACAGCGAGCGTGCCGGGAGGCAGTTGACCCAGGAGGCAGAAGTCCTTCCTCAGAATCTGCCTCTGTCTGGTTCAGGGCAACATAAGACCGGGGCTGGCGGACGCGCCGGGAGGCTGTTGCAGGCTCAGGACTGTAGCGAATGGTCCTGGGTCTCTGGGGTCAGTCTTCTCTAGAGGGAAGACTGACTGAAAGATATTTCTGTCAGACTTCTGGGAGAATTTGTTTTTTGGCTGGTTTTGTTAGTCTTATTGTCCTGATTTGTGTTGTCATTATTTACTTTTGTTAGTCATATTGTCCTGTTTTGTGTTGTCGTTGTTGTCTGGCCAGTTCTGACTTTTTCCCTCTATCACTTTTACTCTCACATCCATTATTCAATTATGGGGCAAGGGCCATCTTTGCCACTGACCCTCATGACTGATCATTTTATTGATTTCAGAACTGAAGCTCGTAATCTTAGCCTGGAAGTCCAGAAGAGCAAACTCATAACCTTTTGCTCTGCAGAATGGCCCACCTTCGGGGTGGGATGGCCCCGAGAGGGATCTCGCCCTCTCTGTGATTCAGGCGGTTCAAGACAGAGTCATGGACCCAGGGTACGGAGGCCACCCTGGCCAGGCCCCCTACATACTCACCTGGCAGTACCTTGTTAAGAATGCCCCTCTCTGGCTAAAACCTTTTCTCTTTCCACCCACTCCCACAGCACCTACCCCCCCTCCCCCGGGGCTGCCACCCCCAGCAATCCAAGCCATCACCAAATATGACTTCAAAGCTACTGCAGACGATGAGCTGAGCTTCAAGAGGGGGGACATCCTCAAGGTTTTGAATAAAGAATGTGACCAGAACTGGTACAAGGCAGAGCTCAATGGGAAAGACGGCTTCATTCCCAAGAATTACATAGAAATGAAACCACATCCGTAGTTTTTTGGCAAAATCCCCAGAGCCAAGGCAGAAGAAATGCTTAGCAAACAGCGGCATGATGGGGCCTTTCTTATCCGAGAGAGTGAGAGTGCTCCTGGGGATTTCTCCCTCTCGGTCAGGTTTGGAAATGATGTGCAGCACTTCAAGGTGCTCTCAGATGGAGCCCGAAAATATTTCCTCTGGGTGGTGAAGTTCAATTCTTTGAATGAGCTGGTAGATTATCACAGATCTATATCCGTCTCCAGAAACCAGCAGATATTCCTCTGGGACATAGAACAGGTGCCACAGCAGCCAATGTATGTCCAGGCCCCTCTTTGACTTTGACCCTCAGTAGGATGGAGAGCTGGGATTCCGTCGGGGAGACTTTATCCACGTGATGGATAACTGGTGGAAAGGGGCTTGCCACGGGCAGACCGGCATGTTTCCCCACAATTACATCACCCCCGTGAACCAGAATGTCTAAGAATGAAGAAGAGATTATTTAAAGAAAGTGAAAAAATGTAAACATATAACAAAAGAATTAAACCCACGAGCTGCCTCTGACAGCAGCCTGTGAGGGAGCTCAGAATGCCTGGCTGGGTCACTCGGTGATTCTCTCACTTTGGTTAGAACTTTGTCGGAGGGGAGGGGGTGTTGGATATAAAAATTGCCTTATCCACCCTCATTGGGACCCTCGTAATCCCACTGCTCCTTCTCACCTTCAGTCCCTGCATTCTTAACCGCCTAGTTCAGTACATGAGACAACGCCTCAGCACTATTCAGCTTATGGTGCTATGCCACCAATGTCACCAACTGAATGCAGACCCATAGTGGGACAAGAATGCCCACTCAGGCACAAAAGAAAAGGGGGAATGTGGGACCCCTGGAAGGTTAGCTTGACCCCTGCCTCCATTTTGTGTCTTCCATCTTGAATAACTGCCCGCCTCCATTTTGTGTCTTCCATCTTGAATAACTATGTCTCCTACAGTACCGCTGCCTCCATTTTGTTCTGTGGCCTCCAACCTGAGTAAGAAGTTTCCTGTTAAAGCCATGCCCAGCAACCTGTGCAACAAGACCCTGACCCTCCTCAGCCAATCAGCTAAGGTCACAATAAACCACCCTCCTTGGAAAGCCCCTAACTGTTCCAAAAGTATAAAAGCAAACAGGGAACTTTGTTCAGCGTCTCAGACCGAGTCCTGTGTTCTGATGGGCCACTGAGACCCTAGTTCGAACTAGCAATAAAGACCTGTTTTGCTCTTGCATCTTGCGACTGAGCCTGGTGACTGGCTCCACACGGGGGACTCAAGGAAATGAGGCACAACAGATGTAAGGCATTGGGAGCCGTGGGGAGGAAAATTTTTCCTGTACCCTTGAAGCTTCCTCTGGTTGGTCTAAGAATCAAATTGAGGAGAAAGTAAAATTTAGTTATGTATGTACAAGGAATCCACACAGACATGAGATTCCAAAGACAATCAGGCAACCTGAGGTGGGTCTGTTATCCTGAACGAAGGAGAAGCAGGTTGGGGTCCAGGACTTCAAAGGGAGGGATGGCACTTCATAGGAAAATGAAAGAGTAAATGTTTGGTAAGCAGATATTTGCTGGGCTACACCGAAACGATTGTGACATAGGAAGGAATTTTAACAAACAGATTTGGCTAGGTATTTCCCTGTCTACCAAACCCAGCTGATATTTTAATGTTATAACATCAGCTCTACGATGATAGCTCTCTTCCTGGAGCGGGTCCTCTGCTAATTTTTCTGTAGATTTAGGGGAAAGCCAAGGTTTCTTCCAAAGTCTTTTGGGCCTTGATTGTTTTTGGTGCAATATAGTCTTCATGCTAAAGTGCCAGCAAGTTGGGGTGGCTTTACTCTTTTCCCCTGCAGAGCCACCCAACGTCTCTGTGGGAAAGGGGTGCACTTGAGGTTTCAGAGCCTGGCCTCAACGAGCATGCTAGAATCCCTGCTTCAACAGCAGTGGACCAATTACAGGGATGGAATCGAACACTGCTGGGGAGCTTGGGAATTCTCTGAAAAGCAAAAGTCATGGTGGGGAGGAGGGGGGCTGACAGAAAAACACAAGGGCCTGGAGCTGGAGCAGTTTGGGTATTCACAGGAAGGTGACTCAGGGCTAATCATGCTTGCAGTGCACCCATTACTCACTCTTTTGTAATAAGCCTGTAATTCAGCACTCTGGGGCTCTCTAGGCTTCGTCCTCTTCTATTCCAAGTGATCGGCCATACTTCCTCTCTCCCGACTTAACTAGCAGGTCAGCCTTTGGGAAAAATGGTGTTAAAGGGAGAAATCTTTAAACATGACATATCATTTGGTGTGATTTTATGTCTTTTAATAGGTTTTGGAAACAGCAGCCTATCTGTCCCCTTGAGCTCAACTCGTTCTCTAAGCAACATAGTTTGGAACACAAACCACTAACACTCTTCAAATGGTTCATTCTCAAAAGAGCACTAGAGATTTTTATTCCTTGGACCAACTGAGGAGAGAAAGAACACCACAGCACTCAGCAGGGCAATTCAACTTTCACCAGCTGAGACAGAGTTAAGCCTTGAGAATTGTTGCCCCCTAAAGGAAAATAAAACACAGGGAGAGGGAATTAAGATGATTTTGCATCATTAAGCAGTCATGCGCTTTACTAAAAGATGTTGCTTTCTTATTGGGGCTATTAAATATCACTTTGAATAATAGCTCCAGAGAGCTAAATGCCAGAACAAAGGCAAAAGGAAATGTGACAATATCAGGAATTAAAAAATTAGAGCTGGAAAGAATAGATGTTTCCTGCAATGAACTTTAAAGTCATATTCATGCTCACTTATATGTGTATGAGACACAGTTTTAAAGCAGAGGACTCATCTCCCTTTTAAAATCATTTCTATAATTCTCTCTAGCTTTTATGAACCCTTCCTGTGTTCTGTAATAATTTATTTCAGTGTGTTCAACTTTTATTTTAATCAAATGTAGAGGTTTGTACTCACTCATAATAAAACATGTTCTGAAGGATTGATCTTGGAAATTTTTGCACTTAGCTGGGAGTAGATGTTTCCTTTTCAATTTAAAGGGGGTAGACTTGATATATTAAGATGAGAATGGGGCTGACAAAGCAGTGTAGTTTGTCAAATATCTCATGTTTCCATTAGATGAGAATTGGCTCATGCGTTAGCACCAAATGGTGGGTGTGGGTATGAATTATGTATTTTGTTTATGACAAAAGCCTATTATTTTATGATAGCTATGTTTTGGATGAAGAGCTAGTTCATGGCTCTGTACTTTAGGGAATGAACTAATTAGGTAAATTTTTAATCAGGAGGAATGTGATGTTTAAGAATATTATTCAGCTGCTCCTGAAGACCTGGGGAGACCAGGACACAAGGCATATATATAGTAATGCAAAGATGAAGGAGGCTTTCTGTAAAGTGCCATATTTTGCATAAATCATACTACTAGTAAGAGGGGTATGTAAGAAAAACATGTGCGAGTCCAGGTAACATCAGTACTAGAAACAGGCTGTCTTCTGAGGAGCTTAGAAAGGAAAGCAATATTCTGAAGTCATTTTGGATCTCTTTATTCATGTTAATTGCAGCCATTACAGGTCTCAAACTGTAATTGTGCTACATAGGTGAAATCTTTTGCCCTAAGGTGCAGTTGGGTAAAGGTGGAGCTGAGTACTGCTGGTTTGCAACCCTGGGAGTTTCCTGGGAGAAATGTGAAGCTGGTTCCAAGACAAAGAGGGCAAAGAGACACTAAAGAAAGAGGTAGATCACAGTAGATTGGAAGTCGGCAAGTTTAATAAGCAAAGGAACAAGGCTTGTCTTGGGTGACCAAAATATGAGTTGATCTTCACAACAACCCATCCTTAAAGGTTTAAATAGAGGCCTTACCTGGGTTTAGTCACACAATACTGTCCAGATGGTCTCAACACCTCACTATCTCAGGGCTGCATCTTGAAATGGCTTCCACTGTGAGAACAGGGGGTAGAACATACATCCCAAGGACAGGGGAGGAGATGAGGCGCCTCTGAGTATCCGGCTCCAGTTCACAGGTCAGCTGGTAGTCATGGCCTCTCCACGATTTCCTCCAACCATAGGTCTATATTTACCTGTCATTTTCAACAAATTTCTGAAGTTTTCTCCTTTCTGTCATAACTATACCACCTGATAAAAAGTGTAGCTTTGATGAAAAAAAAAAAAAGAGAAAGATTTAATCTAGGTCACAATTTCTCTTGGTTTAAGGAGAAATTGGAGTTAATTTACGCTTGTACAGTGGCCTCTTTAAGCCTGATGGCTTTCAAACGTACACTCTGCTACCATTCCACGTCATGGCTATACTACTACGACTAGTATTACTGCAACTAGGAAGAAAGAGAGAAGAAACAAGAAAAATTATTCTTTATGCTAGGATAATCCAAAAGACAAAGATATCTTGAAAAATATCAATTACTCTAGAAAGGACTGCTTAATCGCAAATGCAATTAAGCAGAAAGGGTTGCCTCTCCAAAGTCCTCCAAAAATTTTGGGAAATTCAAAAAATATATTTCACCCTGTAGAGTTATTCTGCTTGGTTGAAGTTGTGTAAAATTCTTAATATAAAAAAGCGTTTAGAAATATATATATGTTGACACTGTGGGAGTCTTATTAGTGGCAACATTTGAATTATTAGAATATTATAACCCGACATATCCAAAATGGAAAGATGAGAGAAATTTCTTAAGTCTGAGAAATTTTGAGACACAGTTTTAAAACATTCTTTTCAGGGGAAATAGTGCCTGAACTATTTTTACTGAGAAGCTGTCTAGTATTTCATGTACTTGGGTCATAAACAAGGGATTAAAAATGACACTCTTGCTATTGTAGAAGTTTAAATTGTATTGTTATACAGTTTTTTAAACTTTAAGATCTTAGTTATACAACTGTGACTTAGATCAAAAAACTTTCAGTCCCTTTAGTTCAATACAGTCAAATTTAACCTCACTGAAGAGATTAAAGCAGAACTCCTGCCTCATTGCACAAATCAAAATATTAGGTGTTAGAGTCAGTGTTCTTAATGTTTAATTGGAATTAATAGATTAATGCCTTGTTAACTTTGAGCTCTTTGGCACAGAATTATTTCTACATACTCAGGTAATTGACATAACAGCCTTAAATAAATCTCTTCACCAGAGACAGTTATCTAATTACATCAACTATCTGTCTTCATCTCTTCTGTTGCATGAGATTGATTGACTTCTGTGTGGCATATTGGCTTCATCGTATCTGGTGTGTTTGTCTTTCTGTAACAACCGGCTACCTCGCTGTGAGCACTGCCAGCCACACTTCGAAACACATTTGCTTCCAGTTTTGGGTGTGAGTTGAGTTGATTTTGAGCCCTCCCGGGACTCAGGTTAGGTGTCTAACTTCTGTCTGTGGCCTGTTCTTTACTCCCCAGGGACAGATCAAGTCCCCCCTGCATCTGGCAAACCATGCAACTTTAGAGCTT